ATGCGTGAAGTGTGCATGACATCTGTACTGCGTGGAGCTGAGGATGGCACTGATCACAAATTGGTACAGATCAAATTTTACGTATATCTTTTCCTATGGCCATGTATTATTCACTCCCCGTAAAACGGCGAAAATTCAATGTTCTTTCCCTAGATACCGCTGAGAAGAGAGTGGTGCTGGTGAATGTGATGTCTACCCGTCTTGGCAATGTCGAATCCAACGCTTCAGCGAACGACCTGTGGCACCACGTTTGTCAGCAAGTGACCGCTGCTGCCGAGGAAACCATCGGGCGAGCAAACTGTACGCCGCCTGATTGGTCAGATGGCAATAGTGCGACCATTGACACATCGGTGTCAGAGGAGATTGCAGCATTCATTGCGTCTGTGGGTGACACTCAGACTCCGAAAAGAAGAGTCGATTTCAAAATTCGGACGAGGATTGACTCTCGAGATCAGTCGCATCAAGAATGCTTGGACGACAGAGAAGGCGAAGCAGATGAAATACTACGCTGAAATGCAAGAACATAAAGAATTTTTTGACTCGTTGGAAGCATTGTTTGGACCCACGCATCCACAGATGACTCTGTACAATCCTATTTTAGGCGCCGCCTGCACACACACTGCAGAAACAATACAGATCTGGCGAAGGCACTTCAATTGTCTCTTGTACAACCGTTAAGTGACTGTATAGTCTACCTTACATGGGTTGCAACAGCGGGAGATGAAGATGTGTCTTGCTGATACACTGACAGTGCTTGAGACGCAGACAGCATTTACTCAGCTGCCGCCAGATGTGCTGAAACACGGCGGACACGCGTTGATACATGTGGTACACAAGTTGGAGCAATGCGTGTGACGGCTGAGCTGAAAGATTCCCTTAGACAAAGGCAAAGCACACTAGCAATGTCCGATTTATCGTAGTATCAACTTGCGCGTTTGTCTGAGGATGGTGATCACCCGCATCCTGTGCAACCGCCTATTCACGCAGGTCGTTTACTGCACGTGGTGGAAGAACAATGCGGATTCCTTTCGTGCTACATCACCATAGGTATGGTGTTCGCTGCTCGTCAGTTGCAGGAGGAACGCAGAGAGCGACACCAGTCATGGTACTCGGTGTCTGTTGATGTTATCAAGGCATTTGACACGGTGAAGTGCAAAGCATTGTGGCTGGTGTTGGGTAAGTGTAGTTGTCCGAGTAAGGTTGTATGCTTAATTAAATGTGTGCACAGTGGTATGCGAGAGAGGGTGCAGTTGAGTAAACGAACCTCGGGGGAGTTTGATATTGTCACTGATGTGAAGCAAGGCTTTGTCTTAGCCCCCGCTCTCTTTAATCTTTACCTTCATGCAGTTGTGTCTCGTACTTTTGCTGTTATTTGTGGTTACGGTATCCGTGTGGAGAGTTGCATTGAGAGCTGGTTGTTGAATATCCGTCGTTGCTGGACGAGAACTACGGTGTGTGCAACGTCTATTCGTATAGTGCTGTTTGTCGGTGGCTGTGCGTTGTTTGTACACAGCGCGGATGATTTTGACGACGTTTCTTGCTTCGACAGCGACCAAAATCGGACTCACTATCAACACAAGTACGATTATTTTTCTTGTTCGGCCTTCACCAGGAGTGGAATCCGTGAATTACCGTAAACCTGCAATACTGAAGACATTTTACAAACCTCATGGTAATTGTGTTACTTCGTTAGCGTACCTCTGGATTAGGAGTGAGCTGCGCGTCTGCATGTCAAAGACGGCTGCTGCCTCGGCACGCTGGATTAGTTGGTGTGGAGCAATCAACAGGTGAACATTGGAACGAAGCTGATGGTGTACCGATTGATCTTAATGTCCGTTGCTCTATATGGCAGCGAACCTGGTACCTGTATTCAAGGGACGTTTGCCATCTGTAGCGTTTTCATCAACAGTGCTTGCGTCGGATTCTGCGCATCAGGTGTATTCACGGAGGTGCTCCGAAGCAGTCAGATTTATGCAGTGGACTGCATAATCGTGTGGCGTCACTTGCAATGGCTGAGACATATCAGCCGCATGGATTCATCGATGATACCGAAGTACCTGTTGTCTGGTCAATTAAGTGCGCGGAAGCGGAACGTATAGAAACCGTACCTACGTTACCAGGACATGACCAGTGAGAGTTTATAAAGAAATTAGGTTGTAAGACAATGGCACTAGATGGTATCCAATGGCGAAAAATGCATGTGCACTGGTGCTCGAGAGAGTCTTGCATCATAAGGAAGAGAAACCGTTGGATGAAACGACAGACACTGGTGGAGCCTAGTCATCTAGATCTAATGCATGGTGCTGTGACACATGCGTTGGAAAGTGACTGCGCCAAGTCCGCGTGGCAAGCTACCAGAGTGGGCACTTGTGGCCGATATCATAGAGACAATGACTAGGTATTCGTCACCAGTGCATCCCCCTGGTAAGCATGATACATCAGTTCCATTTAATAATCCAGCTCAATAATACGGTCCAGGTGACAATTTTGCTACATCACCGCTACATATGTTATGTGCGGGTACCTGCGTATTGATTTTCTTAGATTATAGGTGTGGGCAGCTGCTTACTATCCCCGTTGTGGCTACACTTGATGTGAATATTAACAAGGTGTCTACTTGTCGAAACACCGCTAGCTTGATTATAATGGTTCCAAAAGACAGTTGATCGTTATTTGGGGAACCCGGATCCACCGTTGGTGGTTCGGTGCTGCTCCTCCCAACCTTGACACCACATAACCGGTTTCCTCCTCCAAATGCCACTTGGAATTCTTTACCGCTGTGCCAAGCGGTGCTCGCGGATCTTAGCGCCATAGTGGTCAAGGCGTCAACCTTGGAACATTAAGCCTCGAGGTCCACCCCAGCTCAGGCTACCTGCATCTGATGAGTCCAAAAGCGGACGAAACCGCTTGTGGGCTGTCAGGGTTGGGAGGAGCAACACCGAACCACCAATTCGGTTACGGTCCTTGTGATCATAATGACCGAGGTCTGAATAGAGATTGCAAGTCGCATTCCAACCACACAGTGGCTACACCAAATGCCACTTGGGGTCCACGGTTCTCTTAACCTTGCTAGGCTCAACAATTGTTTCCATCTAGTATGGAGCGGGATACCACCCAGGCACCACTTAGTTTAAGTCTGGTAAGCGTGATTCCCGTTTTAGATAGAGAAGAGTGCTGATACTGTACTTGTTGTACGAATGTGAACCGACTCCGTTGCTGAAACGCAGCCCCCATCCACGTACTGATAACCCGGCACCTGGTTGTCGTCTTTCTTTTTGCAAAACAAAAACCGAAGATAAATAACCGTCAAGTTGGGAAACGTATTCACAATGAATTGGCACCAGAAACAAACCGGTTCTAGGCAACATCCGGGCAGTAAGTTATGCGACCTATTTTTATGGTCTGATTCGTCTGTGACTGTTAGAAAATCCATAGTTCTGATGACCTATCTGTTCGATAAAGACTTCTAAACGACTCGTCACCGGACCTGCTTAGCGGCATTCTTCTCTGGCACCACGTTTAACTGCTATCTCATATTTCTTAGGCCGCTAAATCCACATTCATCAACCGATAATAACGCCTGACTTGTCTACATAGACATTTGGTAGTGATCCGAAACCTCACTTGTTAACTGAAGATGCCGACGTTCGATACTACATGAGACCATATGAACTTTTGACACTCCAATGAACAAAGTGGTTAGTGTTTACGTGGGAGAAAATATCGGGAACGACCGGATTATCCGATAGCCCACATCTTCCGATATCTGTTCTCTACAAGATAGGTTTGTTTTGAGGAGTGGTTTTCACCTCCATGCTAACTGCTAATTCGGGAACCTGCATTTGTTATGAATAAGACGGCGTGTCCAGATAACCGGTTATCCTACAAAGAAACACACGTTATTGGTTCATGGTCAACGATAATCACACAGTGTGTTTCTAAATGCTGACATCACCTATATGGGGTCCACCAATGGGTACTAGCATCTGCAGGAAATTCATCACCATCTCAAACCATAACTGTTTTACGGTTTCCAACCATGGCACCATTAAATCCTTTTGCTGAATTTGGTCTTACCCAACTGGACTACAGGATACTGCAAACTCATCGTTTCTGTCTGTCAACGTGGCGTGACTGGTGTGACATTTGTCTGCAGGTGCCAGGATTGCAAGCACATTCCCAACTGTTAGCGGGAACAGTGGTCACAAAAATACCACGCAATTTTAAACATGCCCAAGGAGGTCGCGTTTCTAACACTACCCCGGTGGGCAAATTGTGGAATATCACACATTTCGCTGAAAACTTTCTGAACTCGACAAATATGTCTTCAACCCTTTAATGTTGTACTCGTAACCAATCTACCGTAAAGATCCAGATCTGTCGTTGATCGTAGCTGCCAATCATTCGCTATTCAACGATGTGACAGCAGGTGTATGGATGTCGCCAGATCTACTGTTTGGACCTATTTCTTCGTAGCATCATAGCACACTGACAATCACGCTTGGTCGAAAACTGCTTTTAATATCTCTTTTCTTAATAGCGGAATAGCAAAGCACCCTGTAGTAGCGCTGCTAAGGTTAGATAGATGAAAAGGAGAGTGGGATAATTTTGATTGCAATAACTCAAACTCATCCACACATATGATATCATTTGTTTAAACTTAGGATTTCAGATCGCTTCCATTGAATACGCGGCAGTTTTAGAAGATCCCTATAGAATAGCTGGTATTCTCGAAAGCAACTCGGCCTTTCTACCCACTTCCATGAACCTTGATAGCCATGATACTCTTCGAAATTCTATTCGACGTGCACAACGTTTTACCGTACGGAATACTAGCAGCTTACTAAGAAACTGGTACGTAAATGCCTTCGGTTTTCAAGTACACGGGTGTGTAAGTTGAATTATGAAAAGGCTCGGATCCGAATGAGAAAAAGCGAGACTACTTCGGTGTGGTTATATACGGTGTCAGTGGAGTAGTATTGATGTCGATAACGCTCATCGATCGCACCAAGTTGTGTACTTCGAGAAAAGTAAGTCTTCATCTATATGCTCAGTAAATTGGAAATTAGCAGCAAGCAATAGATGTTCAACGCCGCGTAAAAGACTACATCATCGGAGTTCACTTCAATTCAAGGACTCAATCTCATTTGGCCATTTCCGTGGATATCAATTTCCGCAAACGATACGCCAAAATAAAGCCAAAAAGCATGCCTGCAAGCTCCAGGACACATGAACCAGACAAGACGCCGATGATCACACTGTTATGAGTCCGAATCCAAGCTGCCAGTGCTTTCATGCATCCCTAAGGCGGGTGAAGAAGAAAATAATTAAGGGTAAGCAACAAATAATAATCGATATAGAAGTGTTTTAATAGGATCAGAAGTAGATTATAGTAGTAGATGGGGACGAATCTAACGGCATTACTTCTAAACCTGTCTACCAATCTGTTGCAAAATACTCCTGATAGGTCCTGCAAGAAATTTGCAAAATTACCTCTCTGTAGGTTGCTATGAGTTTATGAATGCGTTTCGTTTGAAGAGATCGTGTATCGTGTACTGAAGTCAACTTGGCCTGCGATATTTTTACTACGATACATTTTTCTATTACTAATCCGTCCCTTTCAATTGCATAGCCTTTTCAAGCCATGAACATGTCATGGTTAGCTCAATATCAGATAAACCACAGCCTTGCATCAGGACATCAATCTTTCCCGCCCACCCGGTCTTACTAGCGCGAACAATGTCCTTACACCTGAGCATTCCACCGATGGGTTTGTTTTCACCACTCCCTCATTTAACTTCGTTGCGTATCATTGCTGATTTCCAATCTTTTGAAGTACTTACAGAAAACGTTTTCTTGCACACTACCTTTTCAATTATACTAATTAAAGCAAGATCCATGAAAAACAAGTTGCATTTTATTAGCATTCTTAATCAACTGACCACTCCACATGTAATCTTCGTCATCGAAACATGGTGCTCCCTTGATACGTTGGATGCTACTTTAGATATTCCTAACTACTATCTATTTCGAAAGATCGCAACACAAAGAAAGGATACGGGTGCGTCGTATATCTCCATCGGAACTTCAGAGCAGAGTTCATTGACGACCCACAGTTAAACAATGTCCCAGAATCTCTATGGCTATCGATAGCTGCAGCCTCCTCTACAATACTTCTCGGTGGCAGCTGCAATCCTCCGAAATTGACAGCCAAAGATATCACAATTATCTCTTCGGCTTTTGAATTCGCATCTGTTTTATCACACAGTCTAAAGATAATCGCTGGCGATTTCAATCTACCGAGTATTACTTGATCACCACAAAGATCCTCATCATTGCACAGATCTTTCTTATAGACTATCAGATTTTGGGGGTTGGACTCAGTGGGTTACCAGACCAACTAGGTCTGCCAACATAGTGGATTTAATCTTCACCCTGGGGATTCCTGACGCACAAATTGACATCTTAGACAACCTTCCAGGTGGTGACCACAACATGCCACGCCTTTCCATCCACTTGGAAATGACTAGCAAACTCGACTGACCTAGCCAGCATACTATACGAAGGATTGACTGGGAGCATTTCGGAAAGCAGATCCGGTCCTCTAACTGGGATGGGTTTTTTATCTCCACTAGCGCCCACATTGCAGTGGAACATTTCTATTACCAGCTCAAGGGAATCCTAAATGTATACGTCCCACATAATAAACGGGACTTTCCTTGCTCTATGAATGTAAGCCACACTCTGAGTGACTTGAAAAGAAGAAAAATACTCGGGAAATTTAGAAAAAACTAGAGACTTCTCACTAGTATTACAGCTGCACGAATCTACCGCCTGCATCAAGCGCTCACAAATGAAACGGATTGAAAAGGAAGAGGAGAATGCCTTGCAGATGACATGCGAAGAAAGGAACTGGCCAAATTACTCAGTCGTAGGACTAACAATCGAATGTCTGAGTACAGAACTTATTGATGAGGTGGGTCGCCACCTTAACGACCCACCTGCTATTTGTGAAGCGTTTAGCTCTTTTTTCGCTGCTTCCATGAACGTAGAAACCTACCCTATACCTTGCTGCCCGGAACTTACAACTAACGGCATAGATAATGTCGAGATATCTCTTTCGACCATCCAACAGGCTATGAAGTAAATCGAACTATCGCTCAAACCAGACTCTGACGGCATCCCCCCATCAGTTATTAAACTTGGTGGACCTGACATACCACTGCTTTTGCTAAACATGTTAATCTTGTCCTTAGAATCTAGCTACTTTTTGGATCAGGGGAAAACAGCGTTTATTTTTCCTCGTCATAAAGGGGGGGGGGCAAACAGCACGTCACTATTTATCGACCTATCCATCATACTGCCGTCATCGCTAGATTACTCGAAAAATTAGTTAAAAGTGGAATCATGGACTTTATCTATTGTCATGGGTTACTTAACAAATCCCAGCATGGGTTCCCCGACAAACGTTCTTGTACAACATGTCAGTTGCACTACCTGGATTTTATCACAGAAGCTATTGATTCGAAACATGCAGTTAACATGCAGTTATAATACTGCTCCTAGATATGCAGAAAGCATTTGAGTGCCCCGCAAACGGCTACTGAAAAGAATCGAATCGTTTGGAATCAGAGACCCACTATTTGGTTGGTTGACATCATACCTAAATGGGCGTTACCAGATAGTCACTCTGGGTCATTATAAGTCCTCTCCATGTCCAATCACTAGTGGTATCATCCAGGGGAGTGTATTTGGTACTTCGCTTTTCCTACTTTATATTGACGATATCACGGTGTTCATAAAACATGGCAGGCCATTTTTGTCCGTCGATGACATAAAGATTATTTATAATTCTCGACGAGATGAACTCCGTAGCACAATCCTGTTATTTCAAAAAGACCTCGGTTCACTTGAGACATGGTGTAATACATGGATGATAAATTTCTCAGCTAGTAAATCCTGTATTATGTCACACGGTTGTTTAATCCCTGAAGGGACTGTTAAATTGACTAATGAACGTAGCTGTGTGAAACTATCAAACCGCGATCTAGGCATACGATATTCTTCAAAGTATAATTTCTCAGAGCAAACTGATTATCAAATAGGACATGCCAAACGATCTATGGCTAACATATACTATAAAATCCATACAACCCCTTCCAGACTCGAGCTTTACAAAATACTTACACTTCCTACCCTTGAATACTGCAACATCATCTATAGGAACATGCGAATGGGTGACAGGAAGGCTTTAGAAAAACCTACAACGGTAATTCACTAAGCGCTTGTTCAGTAAATCAACCTCCTTGTTATCAGGAGCGCTGCCAGCAGCTTAAGCTCGAACCCGTTTGGTTGTGATGACTGAAACATAACCTGATGCTGATACACAACCTCATAAACCAAATGACACACTCCAATCTGTGTACAGTTAAAATTCAACATAACTTCACTCGGAATATACGCAACGAGACATGCAAATTATGTGTTCGAGAACCAGGACAGCTATCCGATCCAACTTCTTCCTCAGATCCGCTGTCGTGTGGAATAGCCTCCCAGCCACAATCAGGTCTTGCACAAATGCAAGGGCATTCCACATTCACCTTAGCAAATTCCTTGACGAGAATTCGATAATGACCAGGTTTCCATCAGGTAAATCACCATACTAGTTCTTTCAGGACGGACCAAGGAATATATAATCGATGATTAAAGAGGATACAAAGAACTCAGCAACACCAATTTACGTGGTTCCAAATTATTTTGGTATCATACATCCAATATTACATATTTCACACAAGCATAAGCATGATAATCATTGTACCCATGATTTGTCTAAAGTCCAGGGACAGCTTCTCGTACAATCGGGAAATATACCTATTATTATTGTTGTTATTTTCATTATTATTATTATTATTATTATTATTATTATTATTAAAGGTGCGGGCGGGATCCAACGCGTCAGTTAGCACTGGGGAGTGGGTGCACCTTCTGATAGCACCGAAACAATGAAATTCCGGGTGGTGACATTTCGGTTATTGTTGTATTAAACTTCGCTACTACCTACATGATAGTAGTAAAACTCTGTTGAAAAACGTGAGCATGGAAGGTGCCGTGGAACCCCTCTTAATCGGGGGCAAAGCGGAATCATCGGCAAACTCTGCCTAACATCCTGTTTGGCAACTTCATTTAGGCAGCAAGCACCAACAGATAGATTTCATGCGTACATGTTTGGGTTAAGAAAGAAATTGAGCACCCATTGTCCGTCGTGTACACGGTGCGACAAATCGGGTGAAACACTTATGCGGTTTGTATGGCACTTGGAGTGCGGCACATCTGGATCTAGCAAGAGAGCAGCCAAAAACTTGGTAAGGCAATACGTCGTTGTTTCATGTAACTTGGTATTAGTGCGCAGTACAGGGAACCTGACCGCTGCAACAAGGTTGCTGAATCCGCAAAAATCTCTAGTCATCTCCTTGATAGGTATGATGAGTGTTATAGCTCCTTTTATCTCATCGCTTTAGAAAAATGAGTACCAGAGACCCCAGAAAGAGGTATCCTGATTCTGACTCTCATAGCTTCCGTGATGCGAAGACTGATGTCGAACACCGAAGAAACAGGTCTGGTAGTTTTCTGGGGATTAGTCGGGAAAGTTCATTAACAGATCCATTGGTGGTGCGACCTGTTTAAAAGTGAGAACTACCGGATTGACGATTGGAAAAATGCTTAGAGAGTGTTCCTTAGTAGAATGTCAAAGGTAAAACGCCATCTCACTGGGGCTTTCCTACGCTACATTACTACATGACAAGCAATAACGGACTGATGATGTCACCACGGTCGATGATAAAACGTCCGCAAAATAATTGCCAAACTCAGTGAACAATTCAACCGCCAGAATAACAAAGTTTCCTAGACGCAGCATCTACTAAGTACTTCGTCAGGCAGACATACACCGCTACCATTTGGTGGGTACACACCACTTATAAGCAAACAAAATAAAACAAACGTGTCGGAAGGTGTTCAGAAACACGTCCCAGTGACTGGACTTTGCACAAGGTGCGATTCACAGCTTAGAAAATACAATTTGCTGGCTAGGCGAACAACCTCCTCATGGTGCCAGCTGGGTGGTTGGGATTTAACCCGTTCCAGCAAATAGTTTGGCGGCAGTGTTCCAGGACGTGATGGGTTTTCGCCTGGCAGCGTTCTCCCTATAAAAGCCACAAATGTCTGCCTAACAACACTGTAACGTGGCTGCCGTGACTCGCCACAAAATAAAGTCACTGCCCCGTGGATGTCTGGATAATCCTTTCCAACTCACAGACACCAATCTTCTACTCGCACGTTGCTGACGATATCAAAGGTTCGAGAATGGAGCAGCTCAATTATAAGCACAAACTACACAACTTTAAAACACACAAGTACGTACTACACAAACATACACTGTTGTGGCAAACATTCTTGATCATGCATTGTTATGTCAAAATGATCATGCCTGTAAAGGCGTGCCTCGCCTTGTCGAGAATAAATGCTTTATTTATGTATTTATTTAATCAAACGCTGCTTCAGCTACTACACATTGACCATCTCACAGATTAAAGGCTATCAGATTCTGCTTTCACACTATCAAAACAGACTTCATTTTGTATGATTTCTTCTAGTGCGCGAAATATGTGTAATCGATTGTCAAGAATTCTTTTCCGATTAATGTTCATGTATCGCAAAAAATGCTCTGTCATCTTCGGAGTGTCATGTGCTGCGTGCATACAAAGTTGGCTCACAAATAGCCATAAATCACGGACTTACTTGCGCCTGCGAAATAGCATGCTAGCGTAAACACATTAATTCAACTTGAAATGGCTATATTCCTACCCCAACTGTTCTACTAGGGTGCAAACACTGGGACACATGAGATTGATAAACACAGATGGGTGCGCATCGTGTGTTTGGTGGTAGTGGTTTTGTGATATACAAAGGAGCCTAAGAAAATTAGTTGTTACTTTACCCCGCTCCCACATGGACACTGAGGTTCCGCCTGTTGACAGCAATCAAATTCATGCATAATTGGCATCAGCGCAAATTTACACCTCTGATCGATGCTTTGTAAGTCACCCATTTTTACGTTTCCGTGTCACTAGGTTATAGCAAAATAGACATCAAGAAAAATGCACACTTTCCGTCAATGCTTGGAAGGCATACATTAGCTAGAGGTCAATTGGGATGTCGTTCGGGCGTCTGAATTCATGCAGTTGTTTAGGCGGCTTATTTGCTTCATATAGTTTGTGACCATGGTACAAATGCTAGATGTTCTATTGTGGACTGTAGTAGTGAGTTGCGTGTAGAATTCGTCAAGCATCCGTCACGTTGTTCGGAAGGTTCATTTGATGATTTCTGTAAAATATGCTTCAGCAGGTGTTTCTAAATTTTTCGGCGTACCACACTACCTGTACTACAGACGGCTGACGTGCATCTCCCAAATAAATTGAGTCTTTCCCTTCACGGTGCACAGCCCCTCAGTTGCGCTCGTGCTTAGAGTGTCCACGTAGAAGTGCCGATAATGGGAATCTAGCTAAGGAGTTGTAATTTTCCGACCAAGGGCTGATCACATTTTGTAGTCCAGATTCAGTTACTGTACTGGCTGTGTGTATGATATACCATGTAACATCTCGAACACACTAGCAATTAGATTAAGACAACAAATCGATCATTACAATCCTATACGAAAACTTATGTTTGTGATGTGAATCCCTCTCACTCTTGCTCGCAATCGTTGCCTCTGAAATTGCCTGAGTCCTTTATTCTGTGATATCCTGACTGTGATTTATACAACAGATTATGGTCGATTGTCTTGCGTATTGGGCAACCGTGGCACCTCCTGCGAAGGCTATAAGCACAGTCCGGGTGTACATGTGACGCTTGCATCCCTCTTGACTGTGTCACTCGTTCTTACTTTGCACCAAGAAGCGCAATCATTGTAATTGGCTATCACAAGGTCGTCTGTGGAAGCTTTGTCCTCTGCTACTTCATACAACCTCAATGTCAAATGTTGAGCGCCGCGTAAAGAGTGAGCGATAACCAAATAGCGCTCAGATTAGATCACATCCATGTATACTTCCAAATCAGCTAGAGCGCTCGGCAGCTTCATTTAATTGTACAGAAAAATACTGCTTTCACAGAATCTTCGGGAGCATAATCTAAGACGCGCAATCTCTCTGTGAATGGTTGCTTACGTAGAAGCGAACACCTTAAGTTTATTCACTGTGGTTGTAGTTAAAACAAGAAATTTCCCGGTTAATTTCCCCCAACTTTTACTTGTCTAATGCCCTACACTACCCAAGTAAACAACAGTTCAATATTATTGTACAGTGCTAAGATACTGTTTGCATCGGACGCGGTTTTGGTATGCTTGTTGGCAGAGGCTCGCCTAGGAAGACGCGCGAAAACGGCAAACACAGTAAATCCCCAGTGCTAAAACTGGTGTTACATGTCTCCTATTACTCCTCTTCAAATGGAGTAAAGGAACTCCACCTGAATTTGTTGGTTACGTATTGTTACGCCACCGCGCAAATGACCAACTAGGCACCGGTTGCAGTAGTTGTCGAAGGTAATTCATCACTGCTACACCCGGTCAGAAAGAACCTACCCATCTCGAGAATTGATGAACCGATAACACAATTTATCGGAAATTGTCGGTAGGAAGCACGATAAGGGTCTGGAAAGGGCGGACCTTTAGTTTCAGGCCAGTGATCACAAGGACCGTGACATGGGGAATGGGAAGCGAACTCTTCGAACAAACGAACAGTTGTAAGGCTTATCCTTTACTGTCTTGTGCAATTACAGTGTGCACAGCCAACTATGTCTTCTGTCCAAATTTTGCAGGTGCTTGGTTTTATCACCACATCAACCTATCTACTATGATGCTTTCAGTTGGTATCAAGTTTCATGCACAAACTTTTAACCTACAAACATGATATTTCACCATTAAACCCCTTGACATTTAAATGTACCATCTCACAAAACTCACCATTTTTCGCACCCCCGGTGGAGTCCAATTGGATCGATCCCTAGAAACGTACTGTGGGTTGCAAGCGGTTTCATTTAGACAGCAGCTGCGGGGGACCATTTCGCGGTTCAATGCATGCTTCCAGTCTCGGTAACTGGTAATGCCACAGCAATTGAACTGTGTAGAGGAAAGGACAGAAAGCGTGTAACAGAGTTGGTTGAAATATGGAAAACACTTTTGAGTAGCGAGTTTTTGATATACTTTGCTGGTGGTTAGTCGCAGCAACTCCCAACGGTCATGAAACGGCCATTCCGTCCTATCTGAACTACATATTGGTACGTATCCCTCGGCTACAACAGCAACTAGCTCTTAGTACTATGGGATGATGGTAGTAGATCGCCTTGATTTCAAATGAAACGACTTTGACACGAAATCTACGGTAGGTATATAACCTTATCTCTAAGTGTAGCCGCGGGAAAGCAAGTGAAATGTTGCAGCGAGTACAAGAAGCAAAATAAACAATACGACAGAGGTAAAAAAAGTCAGATGCTTATCCCTGATCAGCTGTTCCCCGTTTTTAGTAAACTAATTTTCCAGCTTCAACACTTCGGTACGTTTCTTTTGGCCAACTGATGTTCCATGTTGTTTTTAGACACCCATAGCTGTTTACTCCTAGTGTATTCATTTGTGCTCTCGAAACGTTGTAGCTTGTCCCACCCCATCCCCCTTAACCTCCCCCTCCAACCACGATCTCACTATTTAGTCTTATATAATCTTGCATAGTATTTTTTTGATGCACAGTAGCCGGCTGCTAGCTTATCGGAACGAGGCCCATCCATTACCAGTAGCTCAGATGCCTTGCACCAGTTGCATTATTTTTCTTTTTTTTCTATATATTGCGGCGCAGTAGCTGACGTGTTTCCCACCTCTGGCTAACGTGTGTAATGATGATGATGATGATTCCGAAAAAAGCTCACTTAACACCTGCTGAACAACACTACTCCAGTTTATATCTTCAACACTGAATAATATCGCATATATTGCCACCTTTCTTTTGCGTGCCTTGTCGGCCTATCCCAAGAGAATCTGATGATTATCAGCTTTGCTCTTGAGGTAGGTTGATCAATACATCTGGTATTCTGAGAACCTTAGGCTCGAATACTTAGCAAGCTAACAAGTAATCACTTGTACTGGGAAGTAGCGGTGTACAGCGGAGAAGCACTAGCGTGGTCAGGTGTTCGTTCTCACTGGCCAGACTTATGTACTCCTGAATTTGCAGCCGAAAACGTGAAAATATGTGTACCTTCAATTCAAAGAGACGGACTAGATCAACCTTACTCCTATTCTTGCTCGGGAACGGCTAGAAAGCTGACATGAAAGCACATAGGCGCTGTGCCAGCAGGATACGGTAACAAGCTCACAATAAATACGAAGACATTTAATTATGCGTTTGTCGTAGCAGTTTTCAAATCAAATAATCATCTATATTCCGGGACAAGCACTAGATTACAGTTTCAACCTATTTTGCATAAGCAGTAGTGCGCATCCATCGGACCCCTCATGATTCAACCCGCGAGCACCGACAATCAGCAGCTTATGCCATTGAGTCAGGGAATAAGGCGTGGGCAGTCAAGATTTACAAGCCAACTACAATATAGCGCGTCTAATTCTTCAATGCCATGCAAGTGACAAACGTTGCAGATGGCAGGGCTGGCCCTGAAAACAAGACTTCCACTGACATTAGCTTTGCACCACATAGTTATTGCTGCTGCGACACATTCTCAATGAAATACATGAAGTTCCTAACTCATAAGTACCTTAAAATACGAAGGTCTTGTAAATCCCAACAAATTCTTGATTTCCCATATTGATTGAACTATTGTCACTCGATGAAAACTGCCAGTTCCATGTGCATAGCTTCTTTCGTACGGATTGTGGAAGCACAAAGAACAAATTCTATAGCAAAGATATTAGAAAACTTTTACTTGAACAACACCTAATAAAGGATACATGTCTGGGTTGGATTTTGTAGACTATACTTCAAACTACAGCGCTCCAGAAATACTACTTTGGGTAATGCAACCAGGGAACCGCAGCGCGACAGTCAGTGATGTGCAACTCGTCACCGGTAAAACTACGCGTTTCCATAACTGAAAAAATAGTTCAATGGAACACTGGCTTATGGTGGGTAGAACGATACGTGGGCTTAACGCGCCCCGTAGGTTGGTAATGGAAAGAATTGTGAATTAGTATACTACACAAGTGGACTAATACGACAAGCATCGGTGAAACCATAAACTAATGGAATGTAGAAATAGGGCTGTAGGAGGGTGACGGTACCATGCAAAGGGGAATAACAATCTGTTATTGTCGATGCTCACTGAAAATAACGGTTGGATTGCTCACCTCTCTTCACAGACCTATGTACATAAGTGTAGGTTGTAATTCCAGTTAATTATATCGGATATATTCGGGACCAACCGCTCATATAGGGAGCTCATTGGGATATCCAACCTTCTTTAATGGCTAAAAATGGAGGCACAAACAATGGAATTTGGAAGGTCGTCATGGGGCTGGCAGACCCAGAGAAAGGAGTGGATTGCTTGACAATCTAGACGAATTTATTATTGGCTCGGTTTCAAGCTACTGTCTCTGGGGTTGTTGTTCGGGTAAATTTTCAAAAGGTGGCGCATACTTGACTTGAGTCACTCAGTATTCGGTATGCTTATATGAGGTCTTCGCTTAGCTGCAGTTGGCGTCCAGTGGACACTCCGAGTTAGTTCACTCGTTTCTGACACGGAAGGATGGGCAGGTTCCTGACCTTTTTGATCACTCGAGGTTGCGAGATCTCGGGGGATGCAGGGTGACTCTTTAGCCAAGGTTGCCAAACCTGGATTAGGTATTCGATGTGGGGACACACGTAAGCATTGAACATCAGAGATGGATGAATCCAAACTCCTTAATTCCCTCAACAAGAGATGTTGGTTATCTCTAATGGAATCGGACTCTGACTGGTTGGAACCACCGAGGTCACTCTGCACCAATACACTGATTTCACGCTTCTGAGGGCTTGTCTGCAAATTGTGCTCCTCAAGCTTGTCGATGCAGATGTGTCTGTGGAGGATGTGGACAAGGTGGCACTTGTCCACATTGAATGTCAGTGCGTTCCTCACCGACCAATTCTACGCTTTGTTGAGGTCGTTTTGGGGAAATTCATTGTCCCCCAATCCCTGGATCACCAGTCAATCCGTAACGTCATCTCCAAATAGAAAATCTTGGCAGGTGATCACTCATGCTGGATGGTTGGTGAAGAATAAGGACAGGCGGGGATGAAATACGCAAACCTGCGGTATGTCGCACTCCAATCGAATCGAGTCAGACAGAGATGTGTGGACACCAAACTCCATTTACCATTCGCGGTGATGGTTGCCAATAAACCCAATACTGAATCTCGGATGCCATGTTGCTGAAGTATGTGGGGCAGGATAAGGTGCTCCAGGAAATTGGTTTTCGAAAAGTCCATGTAGATGACATCAGTTCCTGTCCGCTCGTCGACCGAGTGTTACGTGCCATCCACAGGTTTGTAGTACATTATCGATGGTGACGAAATCCGTGACGCCCCGGCACAGTGATACCCTGGCTTTCCAGGTATCCCATCAGTGCGTCTGCGATGATCGCTTCTATGACCTCGGCAAGCTTAGGAAAAAGTACTACGCGGCAGTAAGTTGCGGGCACAGATCAACTTCCGCCCTCTAGGAATAGTGGTGATACGACTTCTTTTCAACTTTAACAGAACCGTATGCTCGTCTAAATGGCACCAAAAGAATCCTGCAAATTGTTCGGCTAGGTGCATGTTTACTACCTGTATGGCTTTCGGATAAAAGTTATCCCATCCATGGGAGTTGCGTGTTTACAAGGATAACAGATTTCTCAGCACCTTTTTGCGCTATAAACATGACCGAACATTAAATACTGAAAATAGACAGCTAGTAGACATGCGCCTGTGTTGCTTCATCGTAAATAGATCAGGCATGTGTGCAGTGTCACGTCATTGATTCCTAAGCGTCCGCTACAAAATTATACCCATGACGTTGGCTATTAGAGTGCGATGCGCTCCCTGTAACTAAAATCCACAAAGTGTATGTCACGGAATTGCTTGAATTCCGACACCGATTTCACCTCCACACTGCTCGAAGGCAGACAATTCCATTAGTTCACCACTTGATGCTCGAAGTATAGAGGGTGCCATTGTTTAAACCTGACGGCGGTGTGATAGAAACAGGAATTGCGGTTGATGATTGTGCCGATTGTAAAGTCAATACGTACTGGACCCGTAAACTGTTCGCCACCTCCCTCGCTGTATGTGTATATCCACCAATCATAGTGAGGGCTTAGATACCGTGCTGCACATTACGAAGTCTGACGTGTTTTAAGCAAGATTGTGATTGAAACGGAATCGCTTTTCCAACTCTTGCCGATAGCTTGATTTTTCTTCCCAAACCAGCTGCACACAGCAGCTACGTTGAGCTACGTACGCTGTCTAATGTTCCGTGCTGGGACTAGTTTGTAAATGTGCCATGTCCGATCCCTCAAAATTATCTCTCTTAGTGTTCGACTTCTCAGAAAGGATTCTGATTAATGGAAGATAGCAAATTTTAGGCTCAAACGTTTTTGCGACTAGTGGGTGAATACCTTAAAGATGTTTTCCAGGTCATCACTGGACCACTCATTCATGAATGCTAAAACAGTACGTTCTGGGAATGCGGACAAGTCGTGGTACTGCTTAATACATTGCAGCTTTTTGGGCTATGCTTCGTGATATTTGGCAGATAGACTAGCATAGGCCTGTCTATCACGATGAGCAGTCTTGTTCGAATCCAACGCTAGATGTTTCGATTCGTAAACCCGGGATATTTTGCTACGCAGCACAGGTGAGAAGGCATAAGAAGTTGTGAATTAACAGTACTTGAGTTAGTTATTCACATACTACCTGCGCTATCCGGGTATGTAAATGAATTCAATCTAAGTACCTGTCTATCTGCACCATCATCCACGTTTTTTCGTTGGCGAGATTGGTGTAGAAAAACTAACAGGTTCATGTGTGTATTTGGTTTAACGATTGTTTACGATGCTTATCGAGGTGGAGAATTGGTAATCGGAACACCCGAACAAACCTA